TACTCAGTTTTATATATAATTAAAAACATTATCTAAGGTAATTATCCTAATCAATTTATGAATTAAGCAAAATCGATTTTAGCTTATCTGAGGGTCCATCACGTCGTGGTAAACATTTACCACGTCCTGGTAGAAACAAAAAAGAACGTGATTTCGCAGATCACCACGTTGTGGTGGAAAATACCACGTCGTGGTGGAGCGACATAATGGCGATTCTGTTTATCGTCCTTGTTCAAGTTCAAGCAAAGTAAATTCAATTTTTAGACAACCATACTCTCTGATACCACTGATGGGTTTGACATGTATTAACACGGATAAATCCTTAACACTTAAGGGTACATGCAACCTAAAGATCTAAGTCATAACATTATTGATGTAACATTTTATTGAACAACAAGAACACACTAATCCTAGGTAATTTCGATAATTGTAAAAGGAACAACATATCTTTTGATTGTTATGGTAAACAATCAAGAATCCTTTCTTCAGTAACTTGGAAGCTAGCAACACAAATTTCTTTCCTCTGATGGTTCACACCCAACACTAGCAACAAGAAGCTTTTTGAGAGAGGAGAGGGGATGTAAATTTTTTGCTATCTCTAGGATAGAAAGAGTTGGAATGAAAATTGTAGGTCAAGGGGTCAACATATAGTGCAACATGGAAACCATAGATAACCCTAAATGAATAAAATAATGTTTATTCAATTTGGTAATTATCCAGCATCCTATTTATCTACAAGGAATAATTCAGATACCCTGGAATACCCTAATTTCATCCACCTCCTTCCAAGGAAGGTTTTGGACTCTTTCTTGTTCAACTATTGAACAATTGTACTGTAACCCTTGCACTTTTAATTAATACAATTAATCATAAAATCAATCTAATTTATTTATGATTAATTATTAATTAAATATTACTATTTCTACTTAATATATTATTTTCATAACATATTAATAAATTCATTTATTGCTATTTATTAATCATATAATAAATCAATAAATCAGTTTCTCTCTCTAAAAATCATCTTATTCAATTATTAGGTTTGCGGGCAACCCAAAAGGACTTTGCTAATAATTCAAGATTATACTAATTCAGTTATTGGCTTAGACACCTAATCCAACAAAAATCAATGTTGTGGTTGAAGAGGAAATGGTTGAAGCCATTGTTGAAGAGGATGAAGATTCCATCCCTATCTATGATACCGATGAGGAAGAAAAAATTGAGGAAGAAGTTAATTTTGTGTACGAGGAAGAAATTGTTGAAATAGTTGTGGAAGAAAACAATTTTGTTGATATGGGCAAAATCGTTGAAGAAAAGAGGATTTTTGTTGAACAACAAAATTTGTCCTAAGAGTCCATGTCTTCTACAGCTGTGAGTGAAATCCTGGTGAAGCCGTTTCTAGACCACGAAGATGTGGTTGTGGTTCAAAAGGATGCGAAAGTGGGGGAGGTTTCGCATGAGTAAAACATAAATGCAGTTTTACCCATGGAGCATCAGGATGCGATTCGAATTGGTCGACCACCATAGGAGGAGAAGGAATTGCGAGAACCAACTGGTGAACCCTTGAAATTGGGTTATGATCACGAAAGTTTGAATCATTGTGCCATTTTAGATCTGAGTCCCAAGCCGTTATGTGGGAGGGAGTTCGTGGTGATTGGATTCTTATTCTTGTGGTATACCTTAAATTGGGAAGTCGTGATATGGGGACATGTTGATCATGAACCTACGAATACAAATCTGTTCCTTCAAAAGACTGTTGTTAATCCTTCAAATTATTACAAGGATAATTTACTGGGTCCTAATCTTGTTCATGGGAGTGTACGGAAGTGGTTTTTAATCCACAAATGGAAGATATGGTTAGGATTGAACTCAACATGTTCTTTAAGTGGTTTGAAGTAGAACATTTTTGGTTGAAGAAAGACATATTGGAGAAGGAGTTCACATTGTTGCGATCGGAGAGAATTCAACATCGTTTCGATTGGTTACATTTTTGTGATCAGGTCGGTTGCGTCATTGCGAATGGATCATTTGTGTTGTTGTGATCGGTAGGGAGTCACCATCTTGACGATCGGTTCTCTACGAAGATGTGTGGAATGACTAAGAAACGTACTCATACTTTAAAATTCTTTATTCTTTTCAAGAACATCACCCGTGTGATAATCTTGCTGTGCAACACCTGATCTCATGCAGATGTAATGTTCATTATTGGCAGTTTTCACAAGTGTTAAAATCATTTTTGAACAGATTTGTGGTGATATATTTGAACGATATTATGGTGTATAGTTGGAGTAGAAGAGATTTCAGCATAATAACTAGTCCAATCAGTAGTTATTTAAAGAAGGGTACTTTTGTGTGAGGAGACGGTGTTGAAAAATCTTTTCAGGTGATTAAGGATCGTGATGCAACGTGGGTGGAATTTTTCATTTTTCTTCCAAGAAAAAGGATAGCAAAGGTTGCTACGGTGATGATATTGAATGAAGTTTGCGTTAGCATTAAATATAGTTGGTATTGTACTATAATAGTTACTAATATCAAAAGTACAATGCTATTACCAAAATGAAGACAAGAAAAACATGAATCCACTTCCTGTACGAGCCACATATGAGAACACCTCATTAATAATTGTCCCACATAAAATCTTATGTGAGCAAAACCTGAAGAAACTTATATCATAAGGACTAAATGTAACAAAAATAATAATGACTTATTTTGCAAAAAAAAAAAAAAAAAAAAAAACATTAAGGATTAAATGTGTACAAACTGCGAACTTAACCTGGAGTAGTTGGTCATAAGGACTGAATGTGTAAAAAAACAACAAGTTGTAGAGCTTATTTTACAAAAAAATAAATAAAAAAAAATAAAGACTAAACGTGTACATAACGAAAACTATGTTATCCTATTAAGTCGCTTTCCGTAAATATTTAATGACATTCTATTGATAAAATATAAATTTAGAATGATTATATAATAGGGCAAATATCATAAAAGGAACAATATTTTTACACGTAATTGAGAAAAGTCTTATTATTATTATTATTATTATTATTATTATTATTTTGCTCTGGCGACAAATGGGACGTAGAGTTATCACTCTAGTC